AGTGTTCAGATTCAAAAATATTGTGATCAAGACGTCAGATAGATAGAAATTAATTATTATTAGTGACTTTGGCAACAATGAAAATGCCAATTCAAAGAAAAATTGATACTGAAGTAAAAATATGGGTACCTACAGGACATGCCACTTTAAATCAATCCTTGATAAATCAATTCAATTTTCAGAGTAATTTTCAGGTGATTTTCAGTTTATTTCTAGCCCTTGGAAAGCAAGAATTAAGCCGTTTAGGCATGTTACAGAATTATTTTACATAAAAAAGGATATCAAATTATAGTTCTTTTTACATAATTATAATAAACTTGTCTGACAAGTGTAGATACAAGTATGTGTACATGGATACAATATTCAAAATTATTTATGTCTTCTTGTTTGGGACTTTTAAAGAATCCCAATCAACCACAATACAAGACACACTAATGTTACTGTTTACACACRTTTAAATGTGTCAACATRCAATAGATTATAGATTGATAGTTCCTGTGAAGTACTTAGTTTAAGGTATTTGTGTCCAAACTGAAAGGAGTGAAAGAAGATTTAAGCTCACTTTAAGGAATGCAGATCTGCCATTTTTTTGTTTACCTAAAATAGTGCTTCGGCTAGCAAGATACAGTGGTTGGTTGTGATTCTTTAAGCAAGGTTGCATGGTAGGGATATTGTTTTATTTCTATCTGTGATTCYAAATTGAAAAATAATAGATATCCTATAGTTAACTGTACCTTGCAATGAATGATTTCTAAAGGCTTTGTTGAGTTGTTTTTGATACTTTGGTTGACTATAGAATATTGAAGCCAAGGCTCTGTGTTWAGAAGGGATTGTAGCCCTTTTGTTTTACAAGGGCCTTGCCTTCACTTCTGTTGTACTTGACCATTATTCAGCTAGAATAATGCAAGTGAATAACAAGTTACAGAATATCAAAAATGACAATTAGACCTGAAAGGTCTATTGATGGTTTAATGTACACTTATTATTCTGGACAAAATAACTAAAACTTATGGTTTAAAAAATTGATAATTATCACTTTCAGATAGAATCGATAACAATTACATTTAGCCAAACAATATTAATTTGTTTTTCACTTGTTACATCAAAAGAAAATAAGGATAAAAAATAAATTACTTTGGAAGTACTTCCTAGGTGTAATTCTCAAAAATTGTGCTCATACAGATATTCCAGGATTGTAAAGTTTACTATTGTACTCTTTGAAAAAGAGGAACAATGTCTTTGATTTGGCAACAAATTCAATTTCCTGGAAAATCATTCTCTTACCCAGACCCCTTTCAGTTTTCCCAACAGAAAATCAAAGGCTCTGGTTGGACTCCAATGAGTCTTTGATTGATTGGGTTCAAAATTCCCAAGTGCCATTAGTATGCATATATTGTTCAACTAAGATACTTGGTATTCTGGCATTAACTCTAAACAGAGCCTTCGATTTTCTGTGGGAACACTGAGAAGGATTGGGATACGAGAATGTTCAAAAATATTATGAACTGGTCACATTACTGGCACTGAAACAGGTCGGCATTGCAGCCTTCACTACTTTGTTATTCGACTTGTCTTAATCTTTTATTCTAAAGTTCATTTTCCTGTGCTGGACAGTACTAGCTTCCATCTTCTCTTTCCTGAACAAGAAGAGCCGTATGCTGGCCACCTGCMGAGACTCCAAGAACTTTGTGCGTATCGGACTGCAGAGACTTTCCTTGTACTTTCGTCGGCAAATGGACATCATCTTCTTCTCCAGTACCCAGCTGTAGACAATTTCCCATTCCCCATGAGTACACATCACCCTTTTCAGACACTGCAAAACTAACAACTTCACCACAGGCAATTTTCGAGATGACTTCACCATCAAGTGAYGAAACATGGACTGGCTTTGAGGACTCCTTGACACCTTCACCAATGCCTAGCCTACCATAATCTGCTCTTCCAAGAGAATATACTTTTCCTGTGTTGTTTAAAAAAAGAGTATGGTGYTGGCCATTTGCGATTTCAATGTGATTGTTATCAACGTCAACTACAAGATCACTAAGAGAGTCAGCTCTTGTGGGAAGGTATCCATTTTCAACGTCCCCAGTGCCAAGTTGACCGTAGTTATTCAAGCCCCATGCATAAACAACATTGGATTCATCAACTGCAAAAGTAGCATAGCTTCCACAGAAAACATCTTTGAATTTGAGAGCCTTTCTAAGTCGAACTTTCTTGGGAATCAATATGTACTCAAGACCTCTGCGGCCACCACGGCTAGCGAAACACTCCTTTACTCTGCCTAGCTGCCCTTGTTCAGCACATCCCCACGTTAACAGGTCACCATTCTTTGAGAGTGCAGCAGTGTGATCATTGCCAGATGCTATCTTGATGATTGGATCTTCATTAGATGTTAGAATTACAGTTGGTCTGTGTTTTGCACCRTCAGGTTGAAGTCCAACTTTTCCACTTGCATCCTATTAAAAAATAGTAMATACAGTTTATCTTTACTGCAAGGTTTTCTAAGTATAATATGACATTTTTCTTGGAATAGATGTGCGCATGTGGATAGATCTGCTATTTTGTACACAGCAGTCATAAACGTTCAGTCTTATTGTGCAAAGATACCTTGTATAGMGATACTCAATGTTTATCAACAAACTCATTCTTAATGTTAATGTGCCAACCATGATCAGAATGGCTTTTCACAAGTTGCTTTGTTCTGACAGCCAATCGTCTTCTGGTTGCCACATGAATAACAAAGGCTTATGCCACATTGAGTATTGCTATTATAAAGACCATT